TTGCCTAAGCAGGCACTTAGTCTGCTGGCACTTAGTCTGCTGAACTATCTTGCCGACTCTGCATCTGTAGATTTGAGCTGCCCCTCCCATGCAGTGAGTCCTAGGCTCAGGGAGAAAGCGCCGCCTGCCACCCTTTTGTTCTTTGTGAAAGTATCTCTCTTTGCTCTCCCCTTGAGCCTCTGTTCTTGCTTCAGATCCTTCCTTAGTTCCAGGGACCCACTTCCTCCCCCTTTGCTTCCTCACTTTGGTATATCCCAGTGTCTGAACAGCAGATTTGGGAAGGCTCTTTCTATGCAGCTCTCTACTCTACCACCATCTCAGAAGTCCCATGAATAAACATGTTGGAGATGAGAAGTTGTTTCAAAGCTTAATAACTTAAGTTATAAATCATCCCATAGTATAGTATAAGCAGTAAAAAAATTTAGTTCACAGATTTAAAAAACATGGAATACAGAATTCATTATCAGACACTGCCTCTGTTTTATAATTTGGAAATGTTCCTTTATGATCAAGGTAACTCTTGTTACTCTGAATAAGTTGAAGGTTAATAAGGCACAAAAACATTGTTACCATTTTTTCTAAATCATATAACATACACAGGTACACTATTTGTAAGTATACAATTCAGCAGAATTTTACACACAGATAGGTTCATATAACCCCCACTGTGTTTGTGTGAAGAATGATTCAGTTCCCAAGAGGGCTGTCTTTGCTAATCAGTGCCTTCTCTAAAGTAACCATTGTTCTAAGTTCTTGATCTTGAAGTGTATGAAATCATACAATAATATAATATGTAGACGTTCCTTTTACTGTTTTGAGATTTATTGTTACATGTAGCAATGCTTTATGTTTTGTTGCATTTCTTTTTTCATTGTTATGTAGTAGTAGTCTATTGTATGGATTTTCCTTTATTTATTTGCTGTTAATAAGTATTTGGATGGTTTCCAATTTTGTTTCTAGGAGTAAAGCTGCTATAAATACCCATCTACATGTCTTTGGGGGATATATGCACTCATTTGAGTATAGAGCTAGAAGTAAAACTGCTAGATAATAGGATAGGTAATTGGTTAGCCTTAGTAAATATTGCCAAGTAGTTTTCCAAAACAACCGTATGAAGTCATACATTGTGACTTGCTAAAAATGAAAGTTTATTTGCTCCACATTCTCACCAGAATATTGACAGGCTATGTAATTATAGCTATTCCATTTGATGCAGATAGTTGTAGCTTATTGAGTCTTTATTTAATTTGCATTTCTCTGATGAGGTTATTGATACCTTTCTTTATACTTATAAAAAGGCCATTGATTTCTTATTTTGTTATGCCCATTCAAATCTTCTGTAAGCTTTATTGTTGTGCATGTAACAACTCAATGTAGAAGCTATTTGAATTTTGGTAAATTGTATGAAATGTGCATTCAGCAATATTTATTGCAAACACTTATTCTTTCCCCCATTGAATTGCAGTTATGCTTTTGACATAAATTGGGTGAGTATACAGATGGCTGTGTTTCTAGATTCCTTATCCACAGTCTTGATAATGATAGTTTTATAACTCTTTATATTTAATAGCATACATCCTGCAATATTATTTTTCTTTAAGACTATCATAGCTGTTCTTTATTATTAGTACTTCCATATAGATTTTGGAGTTCAGCTTAAGTTCCACCACCACCCCCACAAAGAGAAAAAAAAAAAACCTTTTTTGGGAGCTTGATACTTTATTGAATCTGTGGATTTGGTAGAATTTGCATCTGAATATAATGTGTCTTCCAGTCATAATGTGTTAGGACTGATGTGCTACAAGAATTAAATATATTTTCATTTATTTGTTTTTCTTTTTTATATTCTCATGTCAGTGTTTGTAGTTATAAAATATGAATCTTGGGCATTTTTTAAATCATTGTAATTTGTGTACTTTGATGGTATTATACATGGCATTTCATTAAATTTTATTTTTAATTGTTAATATAAATTTCATTAGGTCTTTGTGTATTAACCTTGTGTGTAGCAACTTTCTTACATATACTTGCCAACTGTAAAGATTTATTTGTAGAATCTTTTGGGTTACATTTTCTATATAGATAATTGTGGCATCTGCAAATAATTAGGTTTTATTTGTTTATTTGTTTATTTTTCTGTATTTTAGGGAAGGATCTACAGGGTATTCAGGTCTCACTACTAGATCAGACTCTAGTGCTCCTCCTGTTCACAGCCTCACAAGAGCTGGGATTACAGGCACGTGCCACCATGCCCAGTCTCAATTGCTGGGGGCGGGGCCGGCATGGCAAGCCTGGGGATTGAACCCCTAGCCCCTGTGCCTGCTTGCAGGCGCTTTAATCCACTGAGTTATTTGGCCAGCCCTTTGCAAATAATTAGTTTTATAATCTTACAATTTTAACATTTTTATTTCTTTTTCCTTATTTCATTGTTGGAACCTCCAGTATGGTATGAATAGAAATGGAGATAGCAAGTAGCATTGTCTTATTTCTGAATTCAAGGAAAGATAACACGGTGTGTTGGGAAGAGTGCTGAGTGGTTTATAGATGTTCAAGTTTCCGTTACTTGTTTTAGCTTTCCCTGATTGGTGTGATGGAGTTTAACCAGCACCTGTGAGTGGGCTCCTCATCTGGAGATTCAGCCCAGGCTTGACCTAGAATCATTATGCCTCCGTTTTCTAGCTGGGATCACAGTTGTGCACCATGCCTGGGCTTACCTGAGATTTTTTTTTTTTAACTTTCCTGGAATTTACAGCCAGAGATTTTGTTATCAGGCCTTCATTTGCTCTTTTCTGTCACAAGTAGAAAGTTTCCTGCTAGGATGTTATTTCTGGTGTTAGAAAAACGAAAACCTTTATTGTCTGACTAATAAGTATGAAACCACTCCAAGCAGTAGTAGTAGTAGTAGTAGTAGTAGTAGTAGTAGTAGTAGTAGTAAAAAAAGGGTGTCTTTTTTCGCCTTTTGGACTAGAGTCTTCCATAATCTACAGTAGTTTTGCACTGCCTGTGTCTGCCAGGGTGGCATCACCTTTATAGTAATTCTCCTGCTTCAGCTTCCCAAGTACTGGAAACACATGCATATACCACTATGCCTAACTATTTCTGATATTTAAAAAATATATATTTACCTATAGAAAATCTTTTAATCTGTGTTCTAGAGAGTGTTTCTTTCCATCCTAGATATACCTCGGCTCTTTCAAGATTAAATGATGCTTGCTTTGTGCAAAGAAAAGCACTAGAAGGAGGAGCGATTTCTCTGAGCTGTGTGTCTTCCTGGCTTCCTACCGCAGTGCAGAACCACTTTCCATTTATTTATTTATTTATTCACTATTTTTGTTTTTGGTACCCGGAATAGAACTCAGGGCGTCACACTTACCAAGTAGGTGCTACACCATTGAGCTACATCCCTGGCCCCCACTTTCTATCTAGGGCTCAGTCCTTCCAGGGAAGGCCATAAGCACTGCTTGGGAACTGAGTGTACACATCAATCAAGCTGATAAGTCTTAACTCCAGTTATTACATGATAAAATATTAGCAGAGTTAAATCAAATGAGTTTTTGGTTTGGCTATATAAGTGGAAAGCAATTTTGAGGTCTGTTGTATAAAGAATTCCAGTTCCGTGGTAGAGAGGCAAATAAATGGGATTGGGGGTGGGATGGAAAAGGGGAATAGATAGATGAATCACCCATTGCTGTCTCTCTGCTATCCACTGTGGTTCTTTAAGGCCAGCAGGGGCTTTGCAGGTTTCCTAATGCTGGATTTCAGGATTTGCTTTCAGAAATAACTTTGTGTTAGTATTGGTAAATAAATTTGAAGGGTTAGTCTTATGCTGTGAGCAATTTGTAGTAACTAATTGCCACTGTAATTGTTCAGTATTGGTTTTTACTTAATAAAATACTTAATCATAAATGTCTAAATTTAGTAACTCCCACAGGAAAGTATTTCCATGCCCACTGACAAGATTAATTTAGCAGTTTCCTGGTCAAGTGCTTTAATTACTCATAATTGTGAAGGGCAAGGTGTGATGAATTCTTCCTTCATGGACATACTAAATATTTGAACTAAGGTGAGATAAGGTAAATTAAGTTAGTGAGGTCAATTTGTTGCCTGGGTTAAAAGCACTTTTAAGACATCCATCATATTCTATATTCCATTAGATAATAATCCATTTGTGCCTACTGCTCTGTGAGTAAAGGCTTCTTTGTTGACGTAGGTGGCAGAGTTGGGAAGCTGAGGATCAGAAAGTATTAAGTTCATAGAGAGTTACCATGCTGTGCTTGAGTCATGGAGGATGCCTAGTTACGTGTAGTTTTTGTTATCAAACTGATGGAAAACTCCTGATGCCTTTGTTTGGCATGTGAGTGTGATCAGCTGTCTTTCTGGACTTGACTGTTGAGTCCACTGTAAGCCTTGGTATGTGCTTTGGGAGATGGCCTAATGTGCAGACTGCCGAAAGCAGTCAGAAGGTAGAATGAAGAAGTAAAATCGCAACAGAAACTCCGAAACACTCTATTAAATTTCTTAAGTGAAAGATTTGCTATTTGGAGTAGCGGGAACAAGGAGCCAACTATTTTAGTTCTGCATTTGGTGTGTCGCTGTGGCAACAATCATGTAGCATTGTCAGACGCTGGAGAGCCTCCTGCTTACCATCCGGGAAGGATGAAACAACTTGTCTCATTAAGTTAAGCTTCTTCCCTCAAGTGCCTTATTTAGCTTTAGTTCTTTTAATTCTCTTTCCCTGGTGATTTGAGTAAAGTGTCTGAAACCACTAAAGGTAAAAGGTTGAAGCAATCCCAAATTTAATAATCTATCACCTTTCTTTAGTGTAGCTAAGTGTAATTCCCGGTAGTTCTTTGTGAATTCATTAGAAGACAGCAAGTCATTAAAAGTTAATAAGAAACTATTTGTTTCTGTGAATGTGAATAAAACCACTTTGTAAGTCTGACTTTGCCAGTTATAAAATCCTTGCTTTTAGCCAGTTTTCATTTTCTTGGTCTCTCTAGGTTACTCCTGGATGGAGCACCTCTGATAGCAATCCACAAAGCCAGGTATTACAAAAGGAAAGATGGCTTAGCCTTGGGGCCTGGACCATTTGTGACTGCTCTGGAGTATGCCACAGACACCAAAGCCACAGTAGTGGGAAAGCCAGAGAAGACATTCTTTCTGGAAGCATTGCGGGGCACTGGCTGTGAACCTGAGGAAGCTGTCATGATAGGAGATGTAAGTAGAAGAGCAAAGCCCTGAGCTCCCCTGTCACACTGGGAGAGCCAGCTTCAAACCCTATTGTAGGGAAACAGTTTCTGTTACAGTGAAGATGCAGTAAGTAAAGCAAGCTTTCCCGTTGATGTTGGTGGCCTTCTAAAGAACCAAAACTTTGATTGTTTCTAACATTGTTTGATGGGACATACATAATTTTAAAACCATTTATATTGTAAGTCAGTTAAATATTTTGTTTTTCTGAAGGAAAGCCCTCTCAAAAAATCTAATTTTTTTATAACATTACTTCTGTGGAGAACAACCTATACCTAAAAATTGTGCCATTACTTTTTCCTAAGCACATGCACTATGGATGATTGCTCAGTCATTGTGCCACAGGTAGCTAAAGATGTTAATCACCCCAACCCTTTCAATGGCAGGAGTGTGCCTGGGATGATTAGAAGCCCTAGTCATACATGCTTGTGAGCACTCTCAGTTTGCATGCTATGTGGGGCAAACGTTATTCCTGTGTGTGCTGTAATGGGGAAAGAGCTGGGAAGTATGTGCCTCATGGAAAGCTGGCAAGGGTTTACTTCAGTTTTTAAATAACCTGAGAGCCTACACGTGCCTCTCAAGATTGTCTGGTTACAAATCTCTTCATTTTGTAGACTAGAAAACTGCAGATCAGAGGGATCTAGTGGAAGAGTTGGAAGTAGACTTCAGAATCTAGACTCCCTCCTAGCTTTTTTTTTTTTTCTTAACAGTAGTTTATTAGTACATGTGTGTAGTATATAAGGGTTATCTTTCTTGTGGAAAGTTGGTACGTATTCCTTTTTTCATCCCCTTTGATTCTGTCCTTCCCTCTTTTTTTGAAACAGGGTCTCACTCTGTAGCCCAGGCTGGCCTTCAACTCATGAACCTTCTCTCTCAGCCCCCAGAGTGCTGGGGTTATTGGCATGTGTCACCATGCCTGGCTCCTCCGAGGTTTTTTAACTTGTAGTGATGGAAATGTTATCCTGGTCTTCCTGGTGTTGTCTTTTTCTGTAGTCACTCAACTAAAATCATTATGATAATCTTGGACAGTCATATATTTTGAGAAGTCATGTTTCAGTCCACCTTTTTCTCTTAAAAATCCTATAGCTAGGGCTGGTGAGATTGCAATGCCAGCCCCACCTCTGGGCACACTGAATCGGCCACCAAGACCAAGTGTGGTGGTGCGGCCTGTAAACTCAGTGCTGGGAAGGCTGAGACAGGAGGATCACTGGGAGTCTGAATTGTGTAGTGAGACCCTGTACCAAATATATTATAAAAAACTTACATCTGACTTTGCTGGAAGAAGTGGTAGCTTGTGAAAAAGTGGTGTCTGAGGCCAGAATTCTTTCGTACAGGACATGCCATGACTGGGACAAGTGAGGAGGAGGGAGGGGTATGAGACAGCTGTTAAGATATATGCCGGGTTATGTCACCCATGAGAGTGGCAGTCTCTCTTCCTTTGCTCATGCACTTCTCTTCATTTCCCTTCTTCCTCTCTCCTCCTCTCCACTTCCTCAACAGAGCAGATTTAGCTATAGCAGAAAAGGTTTTAAGGTAGACCCTGATGAAGATTTTTAAATTCTAAAGCTCAATTCCAAGAGCTATTACTGAGGATTTTTTTTTTTTTTTTTTTTTTTTTTTTTTTTTTTGGTGGTACCAGGGATTGAACTCAGGACCTTGTGCTTACCAGGAAAGCACTTACTCCACTGTGCTATTTCCCCATCCCCTGAGGAACTTTTAAGGCAAAATTTTTCTTCAGGCATGATCTGGACAAATTCTTATAAGCATGAGATGGCAGGGTTGATTTATCTTGATATTTCTTTCAGATTTTTAATTACCTTACATTCATCATGATAGGCATATGTGTACATACACACATGCGCACACACACACCTTCTTTTGGTTTGGGTTGGGTTGAGTTTGGTTTTTTGATACAGGAACTCACTGTTTGCACACACTGACTTCAGATCCCTGAGCTCAAGCGATCCTTTGGTTGACTTGATCTCACCTGTTGTGGGCTGTTGGATGGAATATAAGGATAATAAATTATGTGGGCCACAGAAAAACTGTCTTCTGAATCTCCATCATATTCTGACAGTAGTTGGATTATTCATCTCATGAGCTGTCATATGCATAGAATACTTTTCTGATGTTTTTCTTTTTTGAGATTATGGATGTTTATGTGATAAGCATGAAGACTCAACACATCTGTGTTGAGTCAGTGGAGTTCTTTATTCTAGTGTACCCCTTCTACGTTGGTGCAGTACTTCCTGAGAGTACTGCATATGAAATCACTCTTTTTATACCTTTTCCTCTTTTATTAACAAATAAGATGAAACAAACAAACCCAGAAGATTGCAGGTGGCCATTATATCATTGGGGATATTTGTTGACAAGTTAAAGCCCCTAGGCTAAATACCTTCTTTATGCTTTTCCAGGATTGCAGGGATGATGTTGGTGGGGCTCAGAATGTTGGCATGCTGGGCATCTTAGTGAAAACTGGTAGGTATCTTATGCATGTGGTTTTGCAAAAACAAGGCGGTAGAGTTCACAGTTACTAAGAGTGTGCTTTACAGAAGTAGGAGAGCCCCAGATATTTTAGTTCTCTTTGTAACACAAAACAAAAATGAAATGGGTTTAGGATCACAGAGACATGCTCATGATGGACAAAGGTGGGAAGATCAAGGCCAGAGATACTTTAATACGCAGTGATAATCATGCAGTTCTACACACTGTAGTGGAGAACAGGACCGTGGGTTGTGGTGCTGGATGAAAATACCTTTATTGTGTGTGTCACTGTATGATGATGAAGTTGATCTCTAGGAACTGGATAGTTTCCTGTTTACATTTTTAAAAAAGTTTTTAAATATATGATACTTTTTCCTTTTCCCTTTCTGTTTTTGGAGATCAAATGGGAACTGTTTCCTGTAACAAAATTAGGTTTATTGTATATGGTCTCTTCAATAAGTTTAGGAAAAAGGAAGGACCTTCTTGGAGAGGAGTAAAGGCATGTTGACTACAGGGGACTGGCCAGTGTCTGGTGTCCTGGTCTCCGCTCTGCACTGGCTAGCTATGTGAGAACGCTTGTCAAAACACTTCTCTTCTTTGAGCTGTGTAAGAATGATTCCAACATACTGACCCCTTGTGTTTCTCATAGTATACTGTCCAGTGAATTCTGTGACTAGTAGTCTTTGTACATTAAGAAAAGAACAGGCTTAGGAGCTGTGAGTGGAGTTGAATACCTTTGCATTTGGAACTTAATGGGATTCCCAGTTGTATTAAAAAGGTCCACTTCCAACACCACCCTCAAAAGAGACCTGCTAAATTTGGAATTAATAGCAGATAGCCAGAAATCTTGTTCAGGAATTTTTATCAGGCTGTTACAAATCAAACAGCTGATAAAAGGTTTTAGAGATATTTCTATGAACTTGTTTGCCTGGTTTCAAATAATGGTGGCAAAACTAACAGGCTTTTCAAAAAAAGGGAAAAGTCACAAAAGCATTACCACAGGGAAATCCTTTGAGGAAGTGACTGTGATCTTTGTTCAAGAAAATTTTACTATGTGGCTCCTACCTGTAAATAGTCCCAGCATTCTGGGAAGCTGAGGCAAGAGAATCATTGGTTCAAGCCCAGCCTGGGCAACCTAGCAATACTCTCAAAACTAAAAACGACTAGGGATATAGCTCAGTGCAGAGGCCTTTGCTTGACTCCCCAGTACTGCAAAATGAAAAAGATGAAAACAGAGCTGGGGAGATAGCTCGGTAAGGACCCAAGTTTGATCCCCAGTACCACATGCTGTGCTTGCCCAGAACCAGGCATGGTAACACATGCCTGTAATCCCAGCGCTGGGGAAGCTTGAACAGGAGGGTCACTATGAATCTGAGCTGCGTAGCAAGACCCGTATCAAATAAGTAAGGAAAAGAAGACATAACTATAAGAATTTAAAAATAGAAACAGGAAAATGTAGATGGAGCCATGGGTGATTAAGAAGTATTTGTTTTGACAAGGCCATGTTGAAAGAGTGAAAATATCAACACTGTGCCTGCTTCAGGGCTCTGGAGTAGACGGTATGTTAATGGCCTTTGTACATGTGACACTCAGGCCTTCTCTACAAGAATCACATTGCGGGGGCTGGGGAGATGGCTCAGTGGAATAAGCGCTTCCCTGGCAGGCGCAAGGGCCTGAGTTCAATCCCCGGTTCCGCAAAAAAAAAAAAAAAAAAAAAAAAAATCACATTACAATAAAAAGGAATGATCTTCTCCAACATAGGGCAAAGACATGGAGAAGATGGCTGGGGTTTTTAGACATAGTATCTGCTAGGCAAAGCCTTCTAATGAGGTGCAATAGTTCTGTTGCTAGAGGAGCTGGATTAGAACGAAAAAAATCTGGAGAAAGCCAAAGAATGAATAGTAGAAAACACAGAAAAAGGGATGAGAGAACAAAGAGAAAGGCGAAGTAAAGCAGCAGCCTGGAGGCCGTACTGCAAGAGGTCTCCTTCCCCTGGGCCTGAACTGGAGACTGG